CAAACCAAATATTTGTATATATGGAAGAATTTAGTAAAGGTTTTAAGTAATTTGTGGTAACGAAATCCCTGACTCAATAATTTATGTCTGTTTGTTTTGTTCACACATTGTTGTCAATATAATGGAATTTTATGCGACTGTCATACAAGTGAGAGGTTTAGCTAGCTTTAAAACCTGGTTTAATCCACCATTTTCTAGATAAGAAAATGCCTTACCAAGTCAGGAATATGACAGTTGTTTTCCATTCGTTTGATGTGTTTGAGCTTTTGATATTGCCAATTGTTAAGGGACTTTCCGTTTTTAATTTTCCTTGGAGTTCGGTATTTTTGTTGTTTTATTTTTTACCAGTAATACATAGATTACGTTCATTGCTATCCAAAACGTCACAACAGACACGTACACGGGCATAGGGAACGAGTTGTGATATATAAACAAATTAACAATAGTGAACGAAAAATCGTCCCTTTTGTCGAAATGTTAGTGTAGAGTTTCCCGTGTAAAACTGAAATATCTAAATTTGGGAAAGGACAGTAATTACCGATATTTGATTTATTTAAAGTAAATTTCGGCACTATATTTAGAAAATTCTTGATTATTTCACGAAAAAATATCATCAAGATAACGGTAAGTGTTGTTGAATTTATCAATTAAATGCAATTTAGACGGGTCTTTACTGAGTTTGGTCATAAAGTGTGTTTCATAACTGTACAAAAACAAGTCTGTTATAAAAGGGGCACAATTGGTATCCTTAGGAATACCTACAACCTATCGATAAACTTTATTGCCGAAACGTACATAAATGTTATCAAAGAGAAAATTAACAGCTTCAATCAACTCATCACACTTCCAGTAAGTATATCTAGCATATTTACAGAGAAGAGCTTTAAATGAGTTGCAGCAAATATATTTGCAATTAGATTTATCAAACGACCATATAATTAAATAAGAAAACTTTTGTTTGATAAGATTGTGTGGAAGTGTAGTATAAAGAGTTGATAAGAAAAAAAGTGTCAACAAAATTAAAAGGGCCACCAAAAGCACGTAATTTGTCTAAAACATCCACTTTGATAGAAGTTAAGAAACTAGTTAAAAGCACTGAAATATTAGTTGTAGAACACTTATTAGAGAACGAGATGAAACGATATTTTACTGGTTTTTGTTTAGTTCAGGTAACCAATACATAGAAGGGACCTTCAAATGTTTAGAAGAGGCCTTAATCTGTGATGTGGTTATGATGATTATGATTGTTTAATATATAACTTTATGTGGGGCGCAAGGATTTGAATGTAGAAGTATTCAAAATTTCTTAAGAACTTCGTGTAGTATTTACGGCATACTGTCTAGATCTTTATGACACCTTATTAAAAGAAACGTACCCCCCCCCCCCCCCCCCCCAACACACACACACACCACACACACACAAAAAAGTTAATGTTTTCGGGGTGAAATCAAAGTAAGGATTTTTTTTGACAATTGTTATTTCCAACGCAACGCAATAGTTCAATTATGAAAATACTAAGCGACACATGGTCGATGACTTAAACAAGAAATAACCTTTAAATTAAAAACTAAAGGCTCTAAAGAGCCTGTGTCGCTCACCTTGGTCTGTGTATATATAAAAAAGAAGATGTGGTATGATTGCCAATGAGACAACTCTCCACAAGAAACCAAATGACACAGAAATTAACAACTATAGGTCACCGTACGGCCTTCAACAATGAATGAACAAAGCCCATATCGCATAGTCAGCTATAAAAGGCCCCGAAATGACAAATGTAAAACAATTTAAACTAGAAAACTAACGGCCTAATTTATGTACAAAGTAATGAACGAAAAACAAATATGTAACACAGCAACAAACGATAACTACTGAATTATGACAACTATGTGCATGTTCAACAAAGGACACTCTCCAATATTGTAGACGAGAATAGAATTCATGATAAAAATCTTTGTTTTGTTGATCTTGTATTACTGATCAATTAGTCTGTTTAGTTTCTCTCAATATTCTTTAAGTTTTTGCTCAAAACACAAAAGAGGGTAAAAAAAAATCCTTATTTAAGGGCAATCACTCCTATAAAGAGTGTCAAGTCTACTAACTATAGTAAAATACTAAATATCGGCAAAATTTGACTTGTAAGTAGATCTTGCCTTGCTGATCATTTTTGTGATTTAAAGTGTCTATTTATCTATTATAAGTTTTATTATATAAGACAAAAATAAAAAAAAATGGTAAAAAACGTCCTTAAAGGGCAGTAACTCTAAAAAGAAGTCATTGGACGATTTCCTCCATATGTTTTAATTGTAGATCTTGTCTTGATGCTCATGTTTGCTTATTTAAGTTTCTATCTATCTATTATAATTTTTAAGATATGATGAAAAAACACCAAAAAAATGGTAAAAATCGTCAGCAAAGGGCAATAACTCTAATAAGGAGTCGACTGATGTTTTAGACCATGCTACTTATGTGTAGAACTTGTCTTGCTGGTCATTTTTGCAATATAAAGTTTCTCTCTATCTATTATAGTTTTCAAGATAATAGGCAAAAATGAAAAAAAAAAATGGTAAAATTTGTCATTTAAGGGCAGTAACTCCCATAAGAAGTGGTCTGCCAGTTTTGACGTATAGACAATCGGTACAGATCAACATTTTGAACATTTCTGCTCCAGTCAAATTTCTCTTTTTATAACGATTTTCAAAATAATAGACAAAACTTGCATTTTATCCCAATGTTCTATTTTTAGCCATGTCGGTCATCTTGGTTTGCAGGCGGGGTCATCGGACACATTTTTTAAACTAGATACCCCAGTGATGAATTTGGCCAAGTTTGGTTAAATTTGGTCAAGTAGTTTCAGAGGAGAAGATTTTTGGTAAAAGTTAACGAACGACGACGACGACGGTCACCAACTGATGAAAAAAGCTCACTTGGGCCATTTTAGCTAAAAACTGACAAATGAGGCAGAATACACCAAAGGAACAGTAAAAATCATAAATAGAAGAAAAACCGATTACACCATGTCAACTCCCCAACCCCAAATACCACCCCCCCCCCCCCCCCCCCCCCCCCAAAAAAAATCCACACAAATAAACAACTATAAAACAACGAAATTATCGAATTCCGTGTACGCTAGCATTCAATCCAAATATTTAATTGTAAGGAGTTTACAACACGTCATCAAAGTTTAATACTTCTTAGAGCCATACAATAAGAAACACCTTTTGAAAAATGGTTCTAACGATAAAATAATGTATAATGTAAAATATTAATTGCGTTTCAAACTGGTAAACAATAGAAAAAACGTTTACGTGATAAATTTTTCCAGTTCACGAACTTTATTTTGATTTACGCTGTAATAAACATAATTTTGTTAACAATCCTATTACTATTGCAGATAATCTGGTTTTGAATGACGTTTATATCCCCAGCAGGAAACCAGTCATTCCAAACAGGATATTTAGACAGTTTATTGCATGTTATTACACTCAGGTTAGTTGCCATTGTAGAAAAATCCAATATATGATTGCTGCTAAAATTTGTTTTTTTTTAATTCAGACTAGAAAAAGTACTATTATATAATAATAGCCTCGTCGCCATTTATTTCAAACATATTTTCAAGTTTTGAAAAAATTAATTAAAACATGAGCTTTAGCTGTTGGTAGAGATAAGCGTTTGGTTTCATTATTCATTTTATAATCATTGACTTTTAATATAAAAAATGTAGAAAATGAAATGAACTACTGTATATCTTTCTACTCTTTCTCACTACAATTTGCAACAGCGATTCACTACAAAAAACATAGTACCTGCGTTTGTTTTCTTTCTCTTCACATAAAAGTGCTTTTGCCATATACAATCTTCACAAAACCTGACAATTTACACAACCTATATAGCTTGAAAAAAGCTCGGCGACCACCACTTTTTTATATTAAAGTGTTTTATGTAGGTGCATCATCAAACGTGCATGTTGTCTACATACAGACGAAAGTTTAGGAAAAGTAAGGAGGAAAAGTTGACCTTAGATGGATGTGTCTCAATTTTTGAAGGTCCCTTTTGGTCACTTTTAAGGATAAAAACCGAGACTTTCACGTGGTATGGACTCTTAAAGCCCTGACAAGGATCCTTCTATCTCAAAATATGAGGTCGCCACTTTGTTATATATATCTTTTCCTTTTGCTTTTTTTATTGCTTTGTATTTTGGTGTTTTCTATATTCAAACGTTGTACCTTTTTTGTGTTGCTTTTTTTGTGGTGTCACAAGACCCTCTATGTGCAGCGTTTTAAGTACCCATACATAAACGCCGATTCGGTATTACGAACCATTACGGTGCTGATGGTTGTCAATTCGGGAATTCAGTAGATCCCCTATTTCCACATGTCTCTTTCAGTTAAATTTTATTGAAGAAAACAATTCAATAATGTCCTGTGATATGACATTTCTGTTACGTTTGTTTAGTAAGTTATTTAAATTGTGTTATGACCATTTCCGAGCAAACGTGTTTCTGAAACAAAATATAAATGATCCGACTTGATTGGATAAAATCAAATTTTAAACAAGACAGAAAAAACCGTCTTTGGTCAACTTTTATCTCAGTGAGTTGGAACCTAAGTTTTAGTACAATTACATTACTCAGTTAACTAGATCACCCACAGTTTGTTTTAAGCAGTATTTAGCTTTCTATATGGTGTTTTGTTAACTTGTTTATCTTTTTGTTTTTTCACATGGCGTTGTCAGTTTCTCCCGACTTCTGAATTTTGATGATTCTCTTTGATATCTTTCGCCTCTTTTTCGTAGCTTGAGAGGAAATTTCGATGACAAACAATGTATAAATAATATTGATGTCTTGTTACGATTAAAGAAACATCATGATATAAACAAAGTGTTGCAAAGAATTTTAACCATTTTAGCCTTTTTGTTAAGTCCCATATTAACAGGCAAGACATATTGTTTCAAAACGTCCCTGCAATAGTTTTTAAACCACTTTGTATAAAGAAAATCTTACCTTTCAAAATCTGGGATTTCCGAAATTGATCCAAGATCTGAAACTGAACCAGACCCAAAGTCATCTAAATAAAACGGGGATGAGCGCCGACGCTGACTTCTAGGTGAAACCTGTAAACACGAATCCGACTTTCTTGGTTGTTGTGAATGTTCAAACCGTACCCTTAATAATTCCTCATCATAAAGTTCGTTTTCAACACAACCTATTGAATGTGGTCTTTGACCTAACTTTTTACGCCTAAGTAATTGTTGGGATGTCGGTGAATCTAGTAAGTTTTGTCCTGAACACCTTCGTGAACTGTCTTTGTTGTAGTCGATCACTATATTACATTGTGTAGCAACATCCCTTTGCCATGGAAATCTTGCCTCGAAACTTTCTCCCACAATATCAAAAACACTATATATTCCATCAACACCTGAACAACAACTGTTACACGACGATCGTCTTCTATCCGGCAAGCTCGACAGTTCACTATAACAACTATCAATGGATGAATGGCGACTATTACTACTTTCACTTTGTTTCTGGTCCGTCTCGAACAAATCGACATCAGTTTCATTTTCATCACATTCCGCCATGCTGCTTAATTCACATGGTGCGCTTGCGACTCTCGTCGGTAAAGAATTTGAAGAATATGATCGCCGCTTCAAAAAAAGATCTCTTTTACGTTTTGCTGGAGATCTGTTATAACAACAAGGCTCATGTGGAGAAATCGAGTTTTGCCCAGGGGTATTCTCATTATGGACATAAGATTTGTCATAGGAGTGGTATCGTTTCCGTCTCACCGGAAGTGTGCGAGTTGAAAATCTGTCAAAACTTCTTGTCTGTGAATAACAACTTCCATCTGAATAATTATCTGGCTCTGCAAGATAAATATATGAAATATAACGTCAAAATTCTGTGTAATTGCCTTAATTATAGTTCATATCGAAGCATCGACATGTAAGCTATTAGTTAAATGTATAGTGGCTAGGAAAATAACAAACAACGCATTGCCATCAGCAAAATGTCGTTTAAATATGTCGTTAACGATGTATTTTCTCCTTATTTGGCAGCAGCAATCAGAGTCAATGTTTTATCCTGAATATTCGATGATCTTTGTCAGGCAGGTCATTTCTTTAAACCCGTTGTATTGGAATTATCTCATGACAAATTAAGACGGAAATTAATATCATATATGAAATATTGTCATCAAAATTGTTATAGAACACGTTCTTCATTCGTGTAGTTCCACGCAGACAATCCTTTGTATCAAATGAACAGCATATATATTTTAACAATATTATAAAGAAACCTTTAAATAGCCTATGCAATATAACATGAAAACTTTCAATTCCTAGCAGATTTGAATACAAACTAAAAAATAGAACTCCTTAATCATTTTTAAAACAACACGCATACTGATAGTACAAAATAAAAAGTATGGATGGAGCATGTATGTAGAAATTGTGTGTTTATTGTTATTGAAGATTCCTTGTTTATTGTTACTGTTATCACGATTTAAGTTTTTATTCCAGGTTTTTTTTAATGAGTTCTTGATATTTCCGTCTGAAAATCAATGTTCTATTATAGGTAAATGCCACATTCCTGACTGTAAAATCATCTGAGAGCAATAAAAAAACCCAAAACAACGTCATTTTCAAACATAATGATTTTCAAAAGATAATGGAACTAATCGATTTAAAATTTGTTATATTGTATGATTTTCATTGTTTTATATTTGTTCCCATGTGTCAAGAAACTGAAGTGATTTAGAAGATAATTATGTCTAGTGATCGCCTAGTGGCTCTCGAGCAGGGTCTTACATAGGAGGCGTGAGGCTAAGATACAAACATAAAGGCTTTAGCGGGTAGTGTAAGACGAGCTAGTACAATTACTTTATACTGACTTCATCATTCACTTGAACCTTTTGGACATTAATCAAGCATTTACACATCCGCTGCTTTCAAAAATTGTGATTTGAGCTCAGTTCCGGATAAAAAGGAATTCAGAGCATCGGACGAAAGAAATTTATAAAGTGCTATTTTCATTTCAAAGCGGTTAAATTTGCAGTTCCTACCCAATTGTAGAAAAAGAGAAAAATAATTGTTGTTAATGATCATAGCATGGCTGCATAAATTATCAAAATGCATGGTCTAGAGTCTTCAAATACGTCTTAGTAACTAACAACTAGTATTGCTGTCCTTGTATATTAAATGTTGACAGGACTTCCTGAGAACTAAAGAAATGTTCATATAACAATTAATGAAAATATTTACGACGACTTTGATTTAAATATCAAACCAATCGTTCTCCTTTCTAACTCAACATCCAAAACTTAAAAGAATAATTTATTTTACAATGGTACATGTACCAAAGTTTTTTTCTAGAAATGTTCTAATCCATTGGATGGTGGATGTTTACTGGTTGATATTTTAGTCTTAGACACAAGATTTATTACAAGTTACTGTAGTTGTTTTTGGCTTTGAACTAGCTTTCAGTAACTGGGAGTACGATCAGACCTGTACTTTGTGTCTTTTGTGTTTTCGTTATTTTTTTGTTTGCGTGTTCTTATGTCGTACTGTTACACAACTGTCCCAGGTTAGGGGAGGATTTTGTGCCAGCAAACATTTTTAACCCCGCCACATTGTGTATGCGGTACGGGTATTGTTCATTGTTGAAGGCCGTAAGGTGACCTATAACTGTTAACTTTTATGTCATTTGGTCTCTGGTTGAGAGTTGTCTCATTGGCAATTATACCACATCTTCTTATTTTTATATTAAATATTTTGTTCATAATGCTTGTTTTGTCGCAATAATTATAGTGGAAAAAGACTTGTGTGTTCTTCTTGTTTTTGAACATATGTAATTGGTTATAATTTACTGGAAACATGGGAAATTATTCTCTGATTTTTTAGAATTTTAAACTCATTTCACATAATTTTTTTCATTTTTACAGAATGACACGATTCTTATGAAAAAAAAACATACAATCCATTCAAAGCAACGCTTGATTACCAAAAACATTGAATCATTCTACAAATTAACAATAATTGTAAAAATCAACATAGATAGGTCCCCATTCTATGAACACATTTGAAAGTTGTGTTAAATCAGCAGATAAACACTGTACCAAATTTCAGTTTCAACAAGAATACTAAACACTAGAAACCAACTTGCTTTTTTGCCGTCTCATTAACGTAAACCCTACATCTCAAACTTTATTCATATAAATAACAATACTTATACGTTACCACGAGACCACCGAGGCGGTTCTTGATGAAAGTAAGAAACATGGGAATTATTACAGTGTTTCGTTTAACATAACATCCCTAACACAATTTATACGAGTATAACACAGCAAAAATAATTACAGTTATGAAAAAAAATCCTTTATATGAACAACAGAATATTGAAAACTGACGTCAATTATTGTATTTACATGTAACTTCCTAGTCATATCGGATGTGGTTACGTATGTATACATCCAGAACGGAGATGGGGAAAACATAAAAAGAACTTATTTTGTTAAGATTTCAGGAATAAATTGCAGAACGAAGTTTTTGAAACCCTTTGTTTCAATTTCGAAATTCAGGTAAGAAGAAACCATAAGTTTAACAGACGACAAGAGCTAAATATATACTTAAAGCATTAATGAACAATAAAATAAAATCTCAGCTTACAATTATTAATAATTATAACATCAAAGTTGTATTCTTAGATTAAAAACAAATCATTGAAATTGTTAATGAAACGTAAAGATATACTTTTGACTTTATACAGTGTATACATACGTTTGTGGCAATCGAGCCTGTCCTTGGCTGATATATTTTGATAAAGCAACCTTAATTAAAACAATTTAAATTGGCTATATAGACGTCAAATTAAAAAGAATATTTGTTCCAAAATTTTGGAAAACGTATCAGTTACATAAACAACTTTTTTTAGTATGACTGCTGAAAATTCTTAAGGATGAACATCCTTTGTAGGAATTTGATGCATTAAGGACAGATAATCTATTTTAGTCGTTCTTTTTTCGGAACCGACCGAGCGAGATCCTCAAGGGTAACCAAGATCGCAAAAACATCCCCGTAGCAGTATTGAAGTCAATGACGAGTTCATCTAATAAAATGTAAATGTTAATATTTCGTATAATTCAATGAAAATTCCCTGTTTTGCAAAAGAATTAAATTTTCGACCTGTTTACGACCAATTTAAAAAAAAACGCGTAAAAAGCACTTTTTCTTTATTCAAATAAGTGTCAATGACCATTTAATTAGTAGCAAAATTATTCTTAATATCAGTTGTTACGCTTTTTCTAGCTTTAAGGCATCATTGCATCTATACAAAGAATTCCTGAAGGAATATCATACATAAGATTTTCTTTTAAAGCTTCAAAAAACACTCATTACGCATTCTTCTAAGTTTTCTGTTTCACAAGAAGTCTGACATTTAAATACGTTAGCTTAAATCCAATCTTAATTGAAAATACTATCATCGTTTTTTATCGATCTATTGTTACATGATATCAACGAGCGATATTATTTTTGCATTGGAGTCAGTTTCAGTTTCATCCTCGGTCGTTATATAAGCAGCTGCCAAATATTTCACAAGCATTCCATTTACGAGTCCAAGTACAAATCTGAACTATTCATGTGAGAAATATCAGTTCCAGCATGATACTCACCTTCATGCATGTAATAATTTTGTTTTATTCACTTACAACATTTGAACGGATATCATAACATTGATTTTTATCATATGTTTGAACTCAAGAAAAAATACATATGTGGACATTACAATAGATTATTAATCAAATGAAAACTTACAATGAAAATATATCATTTGGATAATTCAATACAAATGATGCAAGTTTAGTGTAATTTTTTAGTTTAAATGTAAGATAGCATATAATTAATAATAATTAATATGAATTGTAATAGAAGATAAGATTCCAACTCTCGTAGGCAAAAACGACCGTCGGTGGTGAGATTTGATGTTCTGTTTAGGTCCTTTCTGAGTTTTTTTAACTTTGGCTTTCCAAACTTTTGGTCTGAATATTGCCCTTTAAAGGTTATTACTGAAAAATATTTAAAAGGTGTACTTATTTTTACTGCTTATTCCACAACTACGTCTACAAAATCAGCTGACAATGTACACGAACCGCAGTACTGAACAACCGGCCTTATTCCGATTGTGTCACATGTACAGTTATGGAAACGGAAACTATTCAGAGAGAAGTTATATGTAATGGGTGTCAACTGGACAAAACTTTACCAATGGACAACAGTTGAAAGATTCCAATTACTTAAAATCGTCTTCAAAAAGCAATAATTGTTGTAAATCATATTTTTGTTTTTGTTTATTGTTTTGTACTTAAATCATGCCGTTAGTTTTGTGGTTTTAGCTGTTTTACATTTGTCTTTTTGAAGCCTTTTATATCTTCATATGTGGTATAGGTATTGCTCATTGTTGAAGGCCGTATGGTGACATATAGTAGCTAATTTCTACGTCATTTGGTCTCTGGTGGAGAGTTGTCGCATAGACAATCTTACTACCATTATATTGTATATGAAAATTTATCTTGAATATTTATTTACTTCGAATGAACAAGTTACTAACCTTTACTTTTAAAGGATGATCCTTTACTTTGACATTGCTTCTATGCGTAGATTAAATTCTACGTTTCAAAAATTGTATAAATATTCCACTGAAAGATATATTTAGTGAGGGCAGCCTTGGTGTCATGAATTCTATTTTAATATGACCATGACAATGTTATCTAATACGATTATAAATGAGAAGATTGACATGAAATCAAAATCCTGTTGAAGTGTTGAAGCTTCTTTGAAACTATAATAAATCATTTTCAATAATCTAATA